CCGTATAGCGTGAATAACCCTGTATACAATATTTAATTTTTAATTGCCCATTTGCTGCTCCTCTAATTCAGGTGCAAGAAATATGATTTTATTCACACTTTCACAGTAAATGGAAAGAGCCATTTTCTAAAAACTCTTATTTTCTACCTTTTCTAGTTGATTAAACGCGATTTTGTTTAAACAGTTTATCAGTCCATTTTTGTCCATTGAGAGATTTTTAAAATGCGTGTGACCCAAGCGAAAATTCTGCCACAGAAGACTCAGATTTGAAGCAACAGCAATCATGAAGAAAATAGAATATTTAAATTGGAAACGTAACCCAAAAAAATGCGAAAAAATATTGAAAAACTTTCAGCATTAGTCACTTGCAAATGCAGGAGCATCCTCAATTTAAAAACACCGTTTAGCTAATTAGGACTACTGCTTAAGAGGAATAACGCGGATTTTTTGCAGGAATAGTTAAGGATCGGTGCAAAACGCCCGATTCGCCTGAAGGTGCCCGCCAAGCCACCACTCCTCACTCACCTTCGCAGTCTTCACCTCCACTTAGAAGCGTTGCATCGCCTCCGACCAATTGCAACGCCGACAGCCTCACACCGCCTCCTCCACTTCCAGCTGCTACCGTAAGTATTTCCTGAAAGTTCAGGAACTCAATAATTGAAGCCTGAACAAGTTCAAATGTGAACTTCAATCCGCAAAAGAAGTCACTTTCTCTACTTACCCCATCCATTCCACGCCCAAAAGTGGATTTATCGCCGGAACCAGAAAACAAATCCGTTTTTCGTAATTCGGTGGCGCAGTCAGTTGCACGCGCTCTCCAGGTCTGCAGAAAAACTGGAGGGCCCTCTGGAAAAATAAGCGCCGGCAACCTTGTCGTTCAGGAACAGGCCCTTCTTGCCGCCCTTTCTTTTTGTCAGGTCCAGACACGAAACTTGAATTGGATTTTTTCCGTCCGACATTCGTTTGCGGTCGCTTTTTACCTTTCCAGAGTGTCCGAGGACAGTAGCGTACTTGTTGACTGGATTGTCCGCGGGAAATGAGCGTAAATTTTCCTTCCAGGCGCTTTCCCTGGAAACCCCCAGGTCCTTTTCGGACATCCCTTATGGCAGTTTGGGCGGCTATCCAACTGGCAGGCAGCTGACCAAGGTGAAGAAGTTCCTGAGCACTTTGGTGCAGTTCGGAAGCGACATCAGCTCAGATGTGGGGGAGAGAGTCAAAAGTCTGGTTCTTAACTTAGTTGTGAGTTGCTCTAAAAGGACGTTGCCATATTCTCTCTCACCATGACCATGTTTCTAGAGTTCGAATTTGAGCATAGAAGAATTCCACCACTCGCTGCAAGACGTCACGAATTTTCCTCTGAGGCCTTTCGTGTTGCCGTTCCTCAGAACGCACATGCCGCTGCTTCAGAGGGAAATCCACACGTTGGCCCGAGTGAACAAACTGGTAAGCGCCTCATTTCGAAGATTAATTATCAACCACCTAAAAATACATACTTAAATGAGAAATGAAGCTCCCCCTTAAGTAAGCATTTTCTTTGAATGGAGCGGCCCTCGTGAGAACACAGGCGTCGGCTTCATCTGCCGGATTTAGACGGGCGGTGTTTTGCGTTTGGGACTAATGGAAAATAAATACTCATTTCCATTAAGGTGGATGGTTAATGGATTTTTTTTCAGTCCGCCCTGCAGTATGCAAGAAGCCACGACCATGTTCTGCTTGAGCTCACTCACTCACCTTCTGAGGCCTCAGAAATTTTCATGAGCAATGACAATGCTCCTCTGAGCGGGATAAAAAGGCGCTCGCCCGAAGGGTAAGTTGCTTGCCGATATTTTCACAGTTTACTTGTTTATGACACACATTTTACTTTTTTGCCTGTCGCCTTGAGGCGATTTATGATGAAATGAGAGCGCGATTTATCAATCCAACAAGGCAAACATTTTTGAAATGTAACACTCAACAAAAAGTGTTTGAAAATTAAATATTGTTGCGTTAAATTTAAGGAAGAATACGATTGATGCAAAATTTAAAATTTGCATGAACGCCTTGCAACGTCACCATCAAATCAATAATAATCCATCTCCCCTGGCAACCTCACGGATGTTCCGCGTTGTTGCCCGGAAGTACCGCCGCGTCGTTTCCTGTCAATAGATAGATAGTATAAACTTATTTAACCTTTCATAGATTAATGTTCAGGTTGTAGGAATTTTTGATACACACACCCTATTCTAATAAAAAATTCTATACGTTTTCAAATGTCGATTGATCTCCTGTTTGTCTTCTTGGTGCCTGAATAAATTTCTTTGAGAGCCTGCTGCTCTTCTCTTCTTAGCTGGCTGGTGATTCTGATCTCCGAAAAAGTTAGTTTGGGTTTCGAAACTGATTTCACTTGCTGGCTGTTCTGGAAGTTTTCGAAGCGCTGCTGGAAAACGTTTCAACAAAAACAGCCAGAAAACTGTCCTTTAGGCACTATTCTGCTTTAAACAACCAGTAGTTGAAGAATGTTCTAACATAATTTGCGTGAATACGACACACATTTTTTTATAGACATGAATAGGTAAGTGCTAAGTGAGAAAGATCGTTAACAACCCTGTCCTGGACAGGAGACAAATCGTAGGCTTTATCACCATAAGGTGCACACTTTCTCGTACACACTTGTGCTCGATGAACATCTGTTGGGGACACTTTGGCGCCCCTCAACCCTTCGTCCCGTTTACGTCATCGTCAGAGCACTCTTGCCTTTTAATTAGCGCCCTCACAGTGCCAGACGTTAAGAAAACTGGACGGTTTTTTCGGTAAATCACGTGCATTTTGTTCCAGAATGTCCGCGAATTGTCTTCAAAAGATTTGATATTTGTCGCATTACCGACAGGCCGAATAATTAATTCGCGTTCCCCGATAAACACGGTTTCGTTTTTGCGTTTGACGGGCGGCTCGTAATTTGGGCCCGCGGAACGCGAATTTATTCGCTATTCATTAAACAACTCGAACACAGGGCAGTTTTGTGAATGAAAATAATAAACTAGCGTGACTCGAGCAGCTTTTTAGCCAAATTGAACGATTTCAAAATTTCAATATTAGAGCCGCTCCTCTCTGCCTGCCCCTGGTTAATAGAATTTCAGCAATTTCTGGTCGTGAGGTTTTTGACAGCCACGGGAAATTAATGAATTTCGGTCCTGAGTTAATAACATCACGTGGATAACGTAAAAATAGTGCGAATTTTCCGGATTCGTGGAGTTTTCAACGATACCAACTTCAGAGGCACTCGGAAAATGTATTGAACACTCTGTATCATTCAAGAATGGCCAATTCAGGTCTACTGAGAAATTTGCAAAAAACCATATAAGAAATACTGCAACGATGTTTTTCAAGGTAATCAAATACCTGTTGCTTCGTAACTATTGAAAACTCTGGTAACCATGGCATTATACAGTGACAGTAAGATGGACAAGGATAAACGGTAAATTCAACAAGATTAGTTGACTGCGGAACGCACTTTCGAAAAGTCAACCTGCTCGCATAGCCTCGAATTGGTTGAACGGGTAACTCCAAACAAATTTTCAATATTTTTCTCGCACTCCCCAAGGAGGCCTCTATCGCCCCTTAAAAAGAATGAGGCCAATTTTGAATCACCCTGTTCGAAAAGATCTAAGAACGACACTCCTCAGGAATTATCCTGATTAGTCCAGATCCCCTGACCAGCATAAAAAGCCAGTGTGTGCATCTTTGCAGGGTATACGAAAACGGCCTGAATGGCCAACCAGAGGAGTACCCATCAGCCAAACGACCGGCCCCCGTAATCACTCCCTTCCTCCTGAACCACCATCAGCAGAGCTTCTTCCTGCCCACCATGAACGGTCCCAATGTCCACCTTTTTGACTACCCGCCCACCAATGCCCCCACCATCAAAACGGAGGAGCAGGGCGGCAGTCGCGGGGACGAAGAATGGCGCAACATTCACGTAATGTTGAACTGCATTCTATCGATGGTGGAGAAAACGAAAAGGTAGCTTCACATTGCTGACAACGTCAGTGGCAAGCTTCACAAGCTTCACATTGTCATGACGGACTATTTTAGGGCTCTGGCCATTCTGCAGCAACGGAACCTTCCCACCCAGCCCGATCCCACCAATGAGTGGCTGCGCAAGCAGGACGTCAGTCAGGACTTGAAGAAAGTGGCCAATGAGATCATTAGCACAGCAATCCGAGCGGCTGAAGAGCGTGTAGCTGAGGTAAATGGTCGCAGGCGTGTATTGCCTAGTTCTGCTATTGTGCTCAAAATTACAGGTTCGGAGGCGCGCTGAAGAAGCTGTAGGGGACGTGAAGCGACAGGCTGTGATGGAGCTGCAAAGGGCGGTGGCTGCAGCTGAAGCTAGGGCTGGCGAGCTGCTGGCAGCTGAACGCGCCCGTGTTGAGAAAGCCATCGGCGGTGAGTTTGGGTGCCAAAAAGGCAAAATGCGCTGCTGTTTTGCTAATCGAGGGTGGTTTGTAGAGGCAAGGAAGCAATCGGATGAGGCCACCGGCAACCATGCGGAGTTTGGGGACAGCAACCAAACACCTTCCGGCCAAACAGTGGCTTCGCAGCAAAACGTAAGGGTTTTTGCAGTTTCGCTTTGGACAAATTACAATTTTTTAAATATTTCAACGTTTTTTCAGGCTTGCTGGAACTGTGGCCGAAAAGCCCACGATACATGCTCGGGTTGTAGCATGGCGCGCTATTGCAGCCCGTTTTGCCAGCACAAAGACTGGGAAAACCATCATCAGGTTAGTAGAATGCCTGCCAATAGTGGGAGTAATTGTTACTTTTAGGTACTAAATGCT